GAGACAGTGAGAGAGGGAACACAAGCAGGGTGCCGGGGAAAGGGAGAAGCAGGCTTCCCGCCGAGCAGGGAGCCCGATGTGGGGCTCGATCCCAGGACCCTGAGATCATGACCTGAGCCGAAGGCAATTGCTTAACAAACTGAGCCACCCAGGCACCCCAGGAATGATTTCTTAAGATAGAATTACCACTGAAATTTTTGATAGATACATATGTATATCAAAAATTTATACTCGTATCCACTGAGTGTGCCTTGTTCTCTCTACACCTTCACCCATACTAAATATTAATCAGTCTCCCATTGTCTTTTTTTGACAATCTGACAAATGAAAAATATCTTTTTATATTTATTTTCACCATAACTAACTTAATTATCTTATTACATTTGTATTTCTTCAGCTTGTAGTCACTCAAATATTTGTTGAATGAATGTTCATATCCTTTGCCCTTTTTTTTTCTTTTTAATTGGCCACAGCAGATGCTACATTTATGTGTGATAAGCGGTGTAACAAGAAACGGTTGTGTGGACGGCATAAATGTAATGAGATATGCTGTGTGGTAAGTGGACCTATCATTAGGTACAGTCAGATATCTAGAAGCCTCAGCCATCTGGAATGTAGCCCAGATTTAGAAATCACTGGGAGGGACCCCTGACCAGCAGTGAGAGAGCTGCCCAGAGAGACAGGCCTTTTTAGGCCCTAGCCAGGTCAGCCTGTGGCAATATGGAGGAAGAGAAAGAAGAAAGAAGGCCTCAGGCTCCAGAGCCCAAGATCACCAGATGAGCAGATAGTCCTCTGCAGGAGATTATGTGCTGTCCTAACACACAGACTGGGCTGGTCTTAGGACTTCAGGGTTTGGGTTTCACATACAATGTGGATCAGGTCAGTAGGCAAAATGAGTAGGGCATTTTTGAAAGGAGCAATTTTCAGTTATCTGAAATAATTCACTTATATGGAACTAAATAAAGGAAGCACTCCCTGGCAGCACTGTATTACCATGTTGTGCGTGTGTGTCTTATGTATAAACAAGATAACACAGTGCCAATACCAAAGTAGTGCATGTATACACACCTATATACGTATATTATACATAATTGTTATTTCTAAAGTTTACATATTGATAAGATAAAGAGTGATAAAATTGGACAACGTACCAAGACTTTTAAATCAGTATTCGAAAGCTTAAAGACTTCCTCTTATTATTGAAAATTTCAAACATATACAAAAACAGAGAGATTAGTATGAGTCTTAAATACCCAACACCCAACTTCAGTAGTGATCAGTTCATGACTAATCTTATTTCATCCACATCCACACCTACTCCCTCTAATTATTTTGAAGCTAATCCCAGACATCATTTCATCCATAAATGTGGAGAGCTTCTCTTTTATTACTCTTCTTGTTGTTTGTGGAAAATATAAATGGAGATAATTTTACAAACAAATACGAATCTCTTTGTAGGATAAGGAGCACAAGTGTCCTTTGATTTGTGGGAGGAAACTCCGTTGTGGCCTTCATAGATGTGAAGAACCTTGTCACCGTGGGAACTGCCAGTCCTGCTGGCAAGCCAGTGAGTGTCTTCACTGTATGCTTTAAGTTTTCTAGAAATTCAGGCATAATATATTTTGAGGGATTGATTTACTTAATTTGGTATGGGTTACTGAACTAAGCCTAAATATTTCAGATATGTTGAGACGTTAAAAAAAAGTTATTCTGGTGCTGTGTCATCTTCCCAGAATGTATAAAACCTGGGATGTAAGCAAGAATGCTAAGATGAGATCTGGCTCATTACTGGATTACTCTTAAATATCATTAACAGATTCTGTCCTCAACGGTCTTCTTTCTCTATATTAGCAGCTGTTTAGAAACTGGGTTTTAGGACGCATTTACATTCTTAAAAATTATCAAGGACCCTCAAAGAGCTCTTTTTATGTCATTTATATCTGTTTACCCTAGTAGAAATTAAAACATTTTTTTAAAGAATTTTTTTTTTTTAAAGATTTTATTTATTTATTCAACAGAGAGAGAGAGACAGCGAGAGAGGGAACACAAGCAGGGGGAG